AAACTCACTGCGGATCCAGACATTTGAATTGAGAAAGCTTCCTGGAGAGGTGGAGAAACGTCTTCAAACTTGGAAACCAAGTCCAGTGGATATTTTTTGAATTTTTACGGAAAATATCTTGAAAACCAAGTCCAGTGGATATTTTTTGAATTTTTACGGAATGACTATGACCTGGATGACTGAGAACCTTCATCAGCGTAAATGTATAAACATTATCCTGACTTCCTGTTTTTATGTCTGTGTTCTCAGTATTAAACATTAGATCGGGTTTTATCGTTGGAGCGCCTGATGGGCAGGAAATCATCCTAAAGCGTGTGCTTCTGACTGCCACATGTTGCTCTGCCCCTGGGCAAGGCACCTTCCCCCAAGGGGCTCTAAGTTAGTGTGTTTGGGGTCTGGGGGAGTGGCGTCCATCGCCCTGAGCTGTTCTGTCCGCTCCGTCTCATAGGTGCTGGTGCTCGTTAGCTGATGGGTGGAGGTAATGGTGAAGGTGGAGGAATCTGCTGTTGAAGCTCCATTAATGTCTCCTTCTAAAACCTTCGATGAAGAAGTTTCTGCTCTGGAAATCACTGCGACCTGTGGCCGCTCCTCTCTAATACGTTCTGTTCTTTCTAGATTCTCATCATGAACTTCTTCCTGGAAACAATCCGAGTCATCTTCCTTTCCTTATGGTTCAACATCGAAGCTCTGGTTTACCTCCTGGTCCCCAGGAAGAAGAAGAACATCGCTGGGGAAGTGGTTCTGATCACGGGTGCCGGCAGTGGAATCGGCCGCCTGATGGCCCAGGAGTTTGCAGCTCATGGAACCGTTCTGGTTCTGTGGGACATTAACCAGGAAGGCGTGAAGGAAACGGCCAGACTGGCCAAAAACGCCGGAGCCAGCCGAGTCCACCACTTCATCTGTGACTGTAGCAACAGGGACGAGGTGTACCGGGTGGCCGACCAGGTGAGCCTCTCTGGGTTTCATCATGCTTCACTGCGGGGGCCGTGGGGGGTGGGGGGGCGATTTGTTGCAGTCGGTTTTTAATGTTTCGGTTCTTCCCGATGTGCTGCTTGTTTCCAGGTTAAAAGGGAGGTGGGCGACGTCAGCATCTTGGTGAACAACGCTGGAATCGTAACCGGGAAGAAATTCATGGAAGCTCCAGATTCTCTGATCGAGAAGACCATGGAGGTCAACACCATGGCTCACTTCTGGGTCAGTCAGCGCTCTGTTAAATGCCCCGATGCATTGTGGGTCCACTTTCTTAAGAAACACGCGTCGAACAGGAAATCAGAAAGTGAAAGTCCAGACAGTTCATGTTGGTAGAAACGGCTTCACTTCCCAAACTGTGAAAATGTTCTTCTTCTCTTCCTGCTCAGACCTACAAGGCCTTCCTACCGGCCATGATCGCCAACAACCACGGACACCTGGTCAGCATCGCCAGCTCTGCCGGGCTCATCGGAGTGAATGGATTAGCAGGTGGGTTTCCTCTCACCGTGGGGGGGGGGGGGGGGGGGTAGACTCTGACTCCTTCGTTTAGATCTAGAAACCTGCATCTATCAAACCACTTGGCTTTTATGTTAGAAAGTAAAGCTCCTCAGGGAGGCACCAGTCGACTTATTCAGGTTCCTCCTACTCATCATCATCATCGTCGTCGTCATCATCATTATTAAACCAGAGCTACGCCATTTTTCCTTTCATTGTAAATTAGCCTCCACTGAGCAGTCCATAGACTTGGTTTTTGTAGTTTAGTTTAGATGTCTGATCTGTTCTAATCCTGCTGTCAGTCAGGAAGTATGAATTTCTCCACTGATGGACAATAAAGGATATTTCTCTTCTTTGTTGATATCAGCTTGAAAACTTTAGCCTTAGCGGCGGCGCAGGGACTCTAGACGCCATCCCTGGGGAACATCATCACTCTTCGTGTGTCGCTGCCTTCTCTCATATCTGTGTTTATTCACAGTAAAGATTTATTTCCATGCAGCATTTTTTCCCAGTTATAGTTTCAGCTGACGGTCAGTGAAAAGATGCTGCTTGACGTAAACATCCTCTGGAAACGTCCCTCTGTTCCTGCTGAAGGTTCTCGTTGCTGCAGGAAGCGGTCAGCTGTTAGCATCACCGCCTTGCTCAGCCGTTGCTTCAGACCCTTCTGTCTGTTTCTTCCTGGTTAGTCATTGTGAGCATGAACATCGACCCCCCCGGTAACATAACCGTTCACCGTAAACATAAGTGCAAATGGAGGAAGCAGCGGTGAGCGGAGACGCCGCGTTAATTTGACGGACGGGACCCAGAGGGAGTTAATGGGAAAGGAATCCATCAGGTCATCATTCATGATTAGGCTCCTTTAAGATGGACAAAATATTATCCTTCCTGCTAAACTCTGAGCGTCCGAGTGGCTCCTCACAGGAAACTGATGCTTCTCTATTAGCAGTAAACATCATTGATTAATTATAGATCTATATCTAATATTCCTTCTGCTCCAGAGAGTTCATGTGTGAGCACGTCCACCATAATGACCTTTCTAAAGAGTTTCCTTCAGATTTTAGAGCTCACTGAAACTGCTTTGGTTAAAGCCCAGGTTTCTAGAATCCTTCTTTCATCTGAGGAATATTGCAAAAATGAGCAATCTCCTGTCCAGGGGTGATGCTGAGAAACTAGTCCATGCATTTGTTACTTCAAGGCTGGACTATTGTAATTCTTTACTATCAGGAAGTCCAC